AAAATATGATGATTTTTTTTTTTCAATTTTTTAGAAAGTATTTTATATTAATTTAAATGACAACTAAAATATGCTTGTTAGTTTGAAAACATTATTTTTTAGATAAATTACACTTACCTCTCCTGAGCGTTCTGACAATTACAGAGATCTCCTATGTGATTTCAATAATTACACTAACCTTCCTAACTTTTGAAACTAATATCAAGATTCTTCCACTGTTCGGTTATTTAATAGAATTTACTGATATCATACTGATGTCATACCAAAAATGACAAAATTGCCCATTAATTACTTTATTTATTCAAATGACAAATTTCACTTGGCTCTCCTGAGGCTTTGCATATATATTATCACAAACTCATACATATTTTATCATTATTTAATAAAATTCTTTAATTTCATGCAATATTAAATAAAATATTTAAATTGTTAAGACATTATTATTTAATGCAAATATTTTTTTAATTTTTATTGATAAAATACTTAAAGATATATAATATCTCTAAAGTTAATGTTAGATAACATCCCAATAATTTAATATTATTTCACACCACATAAATAACTTAAAATTTATTATTTTAAGTAATGCATTTATTATTTGAATTTTTTTTAAAGTTAAAATAAAAAGATTTATTTTTTTTGGGCAAGTTGCATTACTTATTTATTCATATGTAAAAAAATTATTATTTTATCTTTTATCAATCATATATTATTCTCAATTTTTAATTTTTATCTTTGAGTCATTAAATTTATAGTCGATGCATATTTAAAAAAATGCAGGTCAATATTTTTTACATGATTAAAAAAAATAAAAAATAAAAAATAAAAATAGAAGTAAAAAAATTAATTGCCTCTCAATAAATTAAAATTAGTTAACAGGGAATGAAAGATCAAGAAATCATTTGAAAATAATAAACAATTCAAATAATTTGCCATTTCTTATACCTAAAATTAAAATTAATTTTTACTTGAATGGAGAAATTATTTGAGAATAATAAAATACTCAATTAATTTGTTAAAATCTATTTCTCCATCTTTATTTATCTCATTTAAACTATTTTTATTAAATTAAATCTTAAAATTTGTTTCTCACATTCATTAATGGTTGAATTTTTATTTTATTTTTTGTTTATAAAAGTTCAAAAACATGTTGTGGAAAAAAATAGAGTCAAGAAATTACATTTATATTTTTTAAAAAAATTATGAAAAATAAATAATAATTTCATATATATTTAATAAGGTAAATCAAATCATATTTATATTTTTTTCCTTCAGAAAATATTTTATTTCTTTGTGTGTTTAAATTAGTATTAGAGTTTGATTTCTTAGTCTTGTCTATAAAATTATATAAGTATTGGATATACGGAATAAGTAAAATTAGATAATTTAAATAATAACACTTTGCTATAAATAATAATAGAATAAAATAAAGATGAGAAATTAAAAAATAAAGTAAACCATTAATGAAGGTGAGAAATTAATTTTAAGATTTAATTGAATAAAAATAGTTTAAATGAGAAAAATAAAGATGGGGAAATATATTTTAAGTATCATGCAATAATTAATTGAGTATTTTAGTATTCTAAAATAATTTCAATTTTATTTTTAGGTGCAAGAAATGATAAATTATTTGAATTGTTTATTATTTTCAAATGATTTCTTGATTTTTCCATTCCCTATTGACTAATTTTAATTTATTGTAAGGCGATTAGATTTTTTTTTACTTCTATATTTATTTTCTAATTTTTTTAATCATGTAAGAATAACCTGCATTTTTTTTAAAAATATGTGTCGACTATAAATTTAATGATTCAAAGATAAAAATTAAAATTTGTTAATAATATCTTAACAATTTAGGGATAGATAATTTTCTAACATATGAATAAATACGTAGGACAAATTGCTAGAAAAAAAATTAATCCATTTGTTTCAACTTAAAAAAAAGAAATTTAAATAATAAATGCATTAATTAAAATTGATAAATATTTCGTTGTTTATACAGTGTAAAATAAGTCTTATAAGTATTGTATTAATTATTAAGGTCTTATATTAAACTACTAGGATGTTAAGTTAAAATATGCATGGATTTTTAATAATATATATGCAAAACCTTAGTGGAAGTGAGTGAAATTTTTTATTTAAATAGTTTATTATTTCAAAGGGATAATATGGTCATTTTGAATAGAAAAGTAACAACGTTTGTGCTAAATTAACGGATTGGGAGAATCTTGATGTTGTCAACAAAAGTATGGAAGGTTTCTGTAATTATTGAAACCACATAGGAGGTTTCTATTTTTGTTAGAAACTTTAGGAAAGGTAAGTGTAATTTACCTTTCTTTTTTTTGGGGGGGACAAACCCACCCTTAGTCTAGTTTCATTATTCCACAATTTTCGATTGCTACTGCCATCTTCGGCCGCCAACGATCACCTCCGGCAACAACTTTATCTGGTGACTAATTTTTCAACAAATCTTTGGTGAAGCGGAATTTTATTGACTTAATATAGTAAAATATCACTTTGTTGAAGAGTCACCGAAAGAGTCATCCTATATCGAATCTGGAACTTTGGTTCTTCTCATAATTTGTACTACATTTATAATGCATATAAAATAAAATTGTGGTTCATACCAAGCAAATTATTTGTTTTTTAATATAAATGAAAATGGTAGTGAAAATAAAACCCTCCAATGAAAAAAAAAATTGAATTAAAGAATAAAAATCAAAAAGAAAAATAATCAGTAAGTCAAAGAGATCTTAGATCAAATGCACAAAACCAAGTAAATCTTAAATCTGTTCTCTCAACCGAATAAAAAGATATTGAAGAATATTATTTAGAATCAAACATGGAAAAATGTAAAAAGAAAAAACGATGAGTTATGCCTATGCCACACCCTTTTGAACCCTTGCCTTTTTATCAAAGGGTGTGAGGCAAGGAATGAAAATTCATGTTGTAATAGTACGTACAAGGAACTATCCTTGAGGAATAGTAAGTACCGAGATCTAGGACTAAACTTGGCCTTTTTTTCCAAGTTGCCTACGTATAGGGATCAAGTCATATGTAATTTTCTATCATTTCATCGATTAGCTTGTATTACGTGTCTTAAGAACAATTTGCCTTATCTTTCTCTTAATCTTGTCACTTATGACATGTATGGGGAGCAAATATTCCGGCGTGCCCGTACTCTTTTCTACCAAGCTCCTCGTCTGTCCGATCGACCTGCGAACACAACGGTGGTGAGCTACTCGGCGGTGTGTGGCCGGAAAATCCCTCCGATAGTCAAGTTAGCACACATTCAGGGATATAGAGAGAGAGAGAGGAGAGAGTTGAGCGTTCTAGTATTTCTTACAAAATGATCCATGCCCAGCATGGGGAGCGCAGTCAAGCTTATATACTCTCTGTACTCCAAATCTGCTCCAATCAGTCTCTTGACACGTGGTGCTGCTTTCCCATCCGTCAGCACAAATCCAACGAACACCACCTAACCAAACCACCAGACAACATTAGCGGGAACTCGGCAGCCTGGCGGCATCACCTGGCCTCCTTCGACCGAGCTACTTATCGAGCCTAACAATGTCACTCGCTGAGCTCCATCACAACTGAGCTCCGTAGCACCCTAGTACAGCCGAGCTCCAGACAGGTTAGGCCGGTCCAAGGGAGACCTTCCCGCCGAGCTACATGCGCGACCATAAGACCCAGATCGGCAAACAATCATCTCAGCCTCCTTCAACCGAGCTACTTATCGAGCTCAACAATGCCACTCACCGAGCTACTTATCGAGCTCAACAGTGCCACTCAGCAGCACTCCGGTTCAACTGTGCTCTAGACAAGTTAGGCCGGTCTGTGGCAGATCGCGATCACCGAGCTAAAAAGAGCGAACAAGAGAAGATAAGCTGGCAAAGGATCTTCTCAGCCAACTCTGGTCTGGACTTCGGCCGAGCAAGCTTTACCTCGGCTCGGCCCAACCCAGCTCGGCCCAAATACGCTTAAACCACATTCAGCCCGGCCAGAACTGCGGCCCAAGCCGAGATTACGAAAATCCCCCTCTCATAACATTATTAGTTCCAAGGCTTTTAGAAATAATTCACTACTCAAATTATGCAATTGGTCTAGTAGCATATTGAGATCATTTGAGCTAAGCCTCTGTGTGATTGCAATCCGTACAAAATCTAGTGCCTTTAACTTTGATACAGGACTATCTGGAAGCATGGTGAAATTCTTCGATAGTTGTTTTTGGCGACTCTCGACGAAGTGAAATTTTACTATGTTAAATTAATGAAATTTCACTGTTCAGAAAATATATATATATAAAAAAAGGTTCAATTATAAAAATTACAAAATTGTATTTAATTTTGTCAATTAAATAATGTTCTATATATATTTTTTTGTTGTATTTGTTTTTTGTATGCATAATAAAATTGATGGAAAAAATATATGAAAGATAAGAGTAACTTACAAGTGTAATGAAATAACAGTTATATCTTGTCAAATTGTTTGGACTTGTAATTTGAGTAGAAAATTTCGTTCTATAATAATTTTGTTGTTTTAATTTTATGGTTAACACTGACAATTTTTTTTGTTTTTGTGGGAATAATTATGAAATACAATTGGTGTAATTAATGATTATATTTAGGCCAAGTTTGGGGACTTTAAAAAAAGTCAAAAAGTCAAAAAGTTACTCAAAAAGTTAAAAAGTTAACACTATTCACCAAAAGATCATTAAGATTATTTCCCTCCATCTTTGTTGCTGACGTGGCATTCTATAAAGTTAATAGTATTTGGATGAATAGCTAAAATAAAGAGCATGGTTGGGGCAGAAACATGAAATCGTTGATAGGCAAAATAAAATGTATACTTTATAGTAACACTGACAATTTTTTTTGTTTTTGTGGGAATAATTATGAAATACAATTGGTGTAATTAATGATTATATTTATTTTTGTACAATTTCCAAACTAATAATACATACAAATATGAAAAGAAATTCCATTTTGTATCCCATCCGCAGTTGACACTTGCCACGTCTTCATCGCTGCCAACCAGTGGTGCATTCTCTCTCTCTCTCGCTCGCCCGATCTAAAGTAGGCACTCTCAGTGGAACTAGGAAGTGAGACCCCAGAACGATAGAAGAGAAGCTTATTTGTTGTTGTTGCTCTAATTTGGAGAGATAAGAGTCGCAGCACTTGAGAGAGAGAGAGAGAGAGAGTTTTACATAGACTTCTTCCAACACAACACAACACAACACCCCCCCACATTCGAAAATCAAATCCGACAAAAATGAGTTTTCAAGATCTCCAGAATGGCACCAAAGCCTCGTCCTCGTCCTCGTCCTCAGCTGGTCGAATGGCTTCTCAGAATCCTTCACAAGCAGTGGCCGCTGGCATATTCCAGATCAACACCGCCGTTGCCGGATTCCGTAGACTTGTCGATGCTATCGGCACCCTCAAGGATACTCCCGATCACCGTCAGAAGCTGTTAGTTTTCTCTCTCCCTCCTTCCTCATTGGTTAACTTAAAAGACTAGATAGATATATCCTTCAAGGAAAGGGGAAAACAAAAATTACACAACAGATAGTCCCAATCCTAGACCATCATGATCATGGGTTTTTGAAAAACAACACTTTCTTTCTATGATCCACCCAAACCTCTCTCTCTCTCTCTCTCTCTCTCTCACACACACACACACACACACACACAATGACTGATTGATCCGTCTAGTAACACTTTGGCAATATTTTAACTTTCACTACTTTTGGTATTATGGTTTTTGCTTTCTTTTTCTTCTAGATGAAATAAAAATTAATTCAATGGTGTGTGTGTGTGGTGATGGGGCAGGCACAATACAAGGCAACGGATAATGTTGTTGGTGAAGGAAACTTCTGCTAAGCTCAAATCCCTCAGCGACTCTGACCACGCTACCAATGTCGATGTAAATTTATCAGCCTCCCCTCCCTCACATTGTCTTCTCCATGCTTTCTTTACTATTCTACCTATTTACTCCTTTTTTAAGTAATATCTGCATATTTGTTATGCCATCTATCTCTTCTTTCATCTTTCTTTATCAACGGGTTGGAGTTTGAGTGCTGCTTGTCATCGTCGGCATTAACCACAAATTGAATTGGTAAGAATGTGTTTTATGATTGATGATGCCCTTTTAGCATTTAAAATGAGTGACTTTGTGAAATTGGGTTTGTCTTATCAACCTATGTACTTAGCCGGAGGCAGGCAGGCAGGCCGTTGTCAGGCAGGCTGTAGTTTACCTCTTATGTTAATTTAGTCATTGTAGTTCCAATTGCAACAATTTAATCCTTTAATTTTATATTTTGTGTTTGATTGGCCTAATTAATAACAACTATTAGGACCTTTGACAGAAAATGACCGCATCCTCTCAACATGCCCATTTTAAAATGAGAAAACAAACAAAAATCAATTACACCGGTCATTCCTGTGGTTTACAATGTATTAATTTGGTTTGTGTAGTTTATTTGTAGAAAGTAACAAATTTGCCCCAATAAAAATTTTGAAAATAGTTCGAATTGAAAATAATTATGAGGATTTTTTTACAAAAATAATTAGCACGTGCAGCTCATGTGACCAATCTAGATGGGTATAACAGAGATAATGGTAGCACTCATTACTAGACATACTCAAAGAGAGAGAGAAAGATGGCACAGAGTTGTGTGAGGGTTGTCATATTAGAGTAAGAAAGGATAGAAGATGGGGAGAAAAAAAGGGATACAAGGAAGGAATAAATGAGAGAAAGAGAGGTGGTTGTAGTGGTGCTCACCGTTGTTGTGATCAACCAAAGTAAGAGAGGTTAGTCAGTGGTAGGTCTTGGATGAAAAAATGTATTGATTTCTCTATTATGCCTCTCCAGAGAAGCCACTCCCTTCCTTCTAGCCATCCTTCTCCCTCCAATGACCACCCCTCTCTAGCAACTCACCAAACATGTTTTCTTGTTCTTTAAAAAATGGGTGTATCTAACATGTAATCTGTCTTTGCTTTTGGAAAAAACAAAACAAAAACATGTTTCCTATTTTATGTTAATTGGAAGCTTTACCAAACGCGACCTTAGTGTACTAATTTTCTGTACATGATTGTTGTTATGGAATGAAATGAATTGGAATGACTGTCAGGGTGTTTTGTATGAAAGATCTAACCAGTTCAAGTTGAATATTCTAAGTTGTCAGTAGTGCCTAAATCTATTGTAAGGATAACAAAATTGTTTGGGTGAATTCTTCAGCCAAGTAAGAGAATAGAAGATGCTAAGCTTGCAAGAGATTTTCAAACTACCTTGCAAGAATTCCAGAAAATTCAACAGCTCGCCTCTGAGCGCGAGTCTACATACTCACCCTTTGCCCAACCATCTACTATGAGCACAACGTATGCAATCACATGCTTTTCTTTTATAATCCTCAACTTCTGTTTCCTAAGTTTATAATCTTGTTAATATTACCAGTAATTCTTACAGAGTTGTGCAATTGGATGCAGCACTAGCTCAGTTGAATATCCAGCACCTACAATGGACCAGGAGAACCAGCCATTTCTCATGGAACAGAAAAGGTGGGCACGTTAAATATTAGAGTGACTTTTATAGTATTTTTATCATATTCAATTTTCTTGTTAACAAAAATTTGTCGTCGTTTCATCTCTGCAGTAGACTACATATACTGGTGGAATGCTGTTTCAACATTTTGTAGTATTGTTGTTAAAATGAGTTGAATTGTGAGGAATTGAGTCTTCATGTGTCAGCACCTTTCAGGGCATCATTCTCTAACTGGAGGATTGGGGTACCTTGTTTTTGCTTTGAAGTTTTTTTTATTGTCTCATTTAGGAAATTAGGATGAATTGGATAGTTGGATATACAAAGCCTATTGCTTGCTAAAAAGAGCTGTAGATCACCTGTAAAGATCCTCCAGATGATTGGGGAGTAATTGGTAACTGCTGACCTATGTTATATGAACTTTTCTAAATTAGTGAAGTATCTGTGTTGTTGGACACTCGACACTAGAGCTAAGGTATGAGATATGTGTCTATCATGCTTAGTTGGACATGCACCCATCAATTATGCTTAAGCAGTTGGGCTAACTATATAGGTATAATATTGTTCTATGTTAGTTTGAAAATACCATTTTACCCTAAAAAATAAAAGAAGTATTTAAGGAAAATGAATTCTATGATTCTAGCCATTTCCTTGTGCCTTAGACATGAGAATAGGATGAATCTTACGTTTAACCACATACCTGCACCCAACATTCGCTCAGGGTCCATGTAACATAGCTTTTAACCTTCTATGCCTTAGAAAATGATATAGGCACAATAATGGGTTGCTGGTGACTGACCTCTAAAATTTGATGACAACTTGTAGATTATTTAACCAACTTTGGGTGTTGGCATTGTCCCAATACACAAAGTAACTATGAAAACATTGAGTGGGAACCACGCAAGAAAAGATGAACATAGTGATTCTGTTTTCAAATTTTTGGAGGGGAATAAGTCTGTTTGTTGTTTTCAAGTCTAACTTCTGGAACAGAGCCAATTCCAATGCTAGTGAAAACACTGAGTGGGAACCAACTTTGGGTGTTGACATTGTCCCAATACACAGAGTAACTATGAAAACATTGAGTGGGAACCACGCAAGAAAAGATGAACATAGTGATTCTGTTTTCAAATTTTTGGAGGGGAATAAGTCTGTTTGTTGTTTTCAAGTCTAACTTCTGGAACAGAGCCAATTCCAATGCTAGTGAAAACACTGAGTGGGAACCAACTTTGGGTGTTGACATTGTCCCAATACACAGAGTAACTATGAAAACATTGAGTGGGAACCACGCAAGAAAAGATGAACATAGTGATTCTGTTTTCAAATTTTTGGAGGGGAATAAGTCTGTTTGTTGTTTTCAAGTCTAACTTCTGGAACAGAGCCAATTCCAATGCTAGTGAAAACACTGAGTGGGAACCAACTTTGGGTGTTGACATTGTCCCAATACACAGAGTAACTATGAAAACATTGAGTGGGAACCACGCAAGAAAAGATGAACATAGTGATTCTGTTTTAAAATTTTTGGAGGGGAATAAGTCTGTTTGTTGTTTTCAAGTCTAACTTCTGGAATAGAGCCAATTCCAAGGCTAGTGAAAGGATGAGGGTTAATTAAATATACAATTACAATCAATTCCTTGTCCAATATCAAAATGAATCTTGAGGATTAACAGTATTATGCTGTAAATTTCCTTCAAAGCGATTTGGCACCTCATTGAATAACTGCAGATTTTCCTCATCTGCAAGTGGTGGGAAGCAATGTGCTGATTTTTAGCTAATGCACCTTTATCAGATGGGAATCCAATGTCTCCATATCTAAACCTTCTTTATGCTGATCTTATGGGTGTTTGCTTTCCTTGGAGCTGGGCTCAAATTCCTGCCTGACTCGTGTTTACAGGACAAGAGAAAGGAAGAAAGCACTCTAGTATCAGAAATTTCCTCTAGTCTTTGCTAACAGCTCTTCTACATGTTGTTGCAATAAATTTTGGCTTGAAAGGTTGACAATGGTGTGAATAGGAAATTGAAAGAACAAGAGAATAGCTCGAGAAGTTCCATTTTTCAGTCTGTGAGCAACTACATACGTGGACAGGGATAATTTTGAGAGCTTTCCTTCTATAATAAAAATGAAAATTACAATATTGAATCCAATCTTGGTAAAATCTTTCAAGATAATGAAACTCTACAATTATCTGAAAGGTTATGGATTATCTAATACACTTTCCAATGAGGATTCTTGGAGTTCAACCTAGGAGACTGTGATGCATGTTTGTACATGCCCATCAGGGGAAGAATTATTACTCTGTTAGTGGTTACAAATGGCTTATGAGCCTGACCGTGTTGATTGTGTTGTTTCTATGCATTTTGCATCCCAATTAAGCAAATATGTATTTTCTGTTCCAAAATGTACATTTGCTCTTTCAAGACTTGCATGTGTGGATATCTAAGGGTCTCTTAGTTGGATTGGACACCTAATAAGTATTTGGATATCACCACACACTGGTTTCTCATTATTTGTTTAGGAGAAGCTTGATAGAACCTTTGTCCACAACAAATATCCTTGATGTCAAAAATATGCAGGCAAGAGTTATTACTGCTGGGAAATGAAATTGCATTCAATGAGGCCATCATGGAGGAAAGGGATCAGGGTATTATAGACATACAAGATCAAATTGGTCAAGCAAATGAAATATTTAAGGACTTAGCTGTTCTAGTTCATGAGCAGGGTGTTGTTATTGGTAAGATATGAAATACCCACAAGAATGCATTCCAGTTCTCTTTCTTGTGCTTTTATTTTGCCTTTTTGAAAATCGTTTCATTTTAACAGATGACATTCACTCAAACATTGAGGCTTCCTCTGCTGCATCAACCCAGGCTAGAGTACAGCTATCTAAAGCTTCCAAAACTGTCAAATCTAAATGTTCATGGGTGAGTAATATTATACTTGCACTCATTTAAGCTTATACATGAAATATTTATTACTTACTACCCACGGATGCAGTGTGTTGGTTTTTATAATTAAAACAAACAAATTGATAGCCCAAAAAAGTGGATGAAATATCATGCTTTTATTTCTGAAGATAGAATCCTACAATGGCGCAAGATATGTTGGTTGTTTATGTGAAAGTATTTCTCAGTGAGAAATGATCAAGTTATATGTAATAGTGGGATGTTTATATAAAAAAGGATAAATAAAGCCAAAGACCACTGATAAGGAGAGAAATGGTGGAACCAAAATATAAACACAGATTTTTGATCTTGTGCTACAATTAATGTATCTGGGAGTGGAAAATTTGGTGTTCATTATGTGTGACTCTTTAGGTTGGTTGGTTTTTCCTGTTTTTGTTTTTAAATAATCAACTAAGAATAAGAAGACAGAATGCCTGATAATACTAATGGCAAATTGTTTGATTAATTTCTCAAATGATTTTAGTTCACTTTTTATTCTGTGTCATATTTATGTTAAAATTTTTGTATTTCATTTTGATTATGTTGTACCTTTGTAATAACAGTGTTGGTGGGTGCTGGCAATTTTCGTAGTGGTGTTGGTGATCGTGTTCATTGTCTTTATCATATAGCATGCGAGTACAAGTCTGCAGCTGTAGTGTGAGATTTGTAGATGAAACGTGTAGTGGTGCCTATCCTTTCTAATTGGTATCCGTGTGTTGAATCTTCATGTTCTCTGTTGAAAAGAGAAATTAAAAATAAAACCGGAAAAGAGGGGAAAAGTGTGATGGATTTTAATTTATTTTAAGAAACATGTGTTGGAGTGGATGTTTTCTTTTTGCAGAGCCGGCCCTTTGTCGTGCTGTCCTGAGCATGAACAAATAGTGCATCTGATGTATATTTTATGTTTGTTTTGGGTTTGATTGTCATAATTGGTGTGATTGGAACCAGCTCCTATTGTTCTCCGATTTGTGATTTGTGATTTGTGATTTATGAAGAGAATGTATTGCTTAGACTGCCAATGTATTTATATTGTTTGTAAGATTTGTGTTCCTTAGTCTATTGTTCTCGGCCAATTGTGTGGTTACACCCCTCTCCCTCTTTAAAAAAATGTGTACATGTTTTTAGTTGTCTCAAAATAGACGTGGTTATGAATCAAAGGCCTAGTTTGGCTACTCCCAAAAAAGTGCATTTATTTCATCTTTTTATCTTTTTTGGGTTACATCAATCAACATCTCCTCTCTACTTTTTTTACACATAATATAAAAAAAGTCAAAAAGTGCACTTATTTAGTCTTCCCAAACTAGTCTAAAGTGTTGTTATGACTTACAGTAGAGATCTAATCAAGTGAAGTCTGTCTATTTTCTAAATCGATGTGGAACCAACTTTGGTAATGAGAATAAGTGGTGTTTGATTATGAGATAAAAGTAATATAAATAAAAATAAAAAAATTCAGTGTTGGTTATAGTTTAAGGGGTTATGAATATTAATGTGGATTTGTCTATTTAGATTCTGTACGGGGAGCAAATATTCCGGCGTGCCCGTATTCCTTTCTTCCAAGCTCCGTCGATATCCGTTCACCTGTGAGCAAATAACGGTGAGCTACCCGGCGGTGTGTGGCCGGAAAAACCCTCCGACGGTCAAGTTAGCACACACCTTAGAGGGAATAGAGAGAAGGGAGAGAGTGTTTGAGTGTAAGAAATCCTTACAGATGTGTTCGTGTATGGCGTATGGGGGGCGCAGACATGCTTATATACCTTCTGAGCCCCATATCCACTCCCTGTCATCTCCTGACACGTGGCTCCGCTATCCCATCTGTCAGCATAAACCATGCCATTCATCACCTGCTCTCAACTGCCTGTCAGCACTGCTGGAGCTCGGCAGCCGAGCTGCCCTTCCTCGGTCATACCATACTTCATACCTCAAGCGCCTAACCGGATAGACACACGGAGGACTGGGCTAAGCGGCATCCCGGCCGAGCCTAGCCCGGATACTTCGATCGGCCTTCCTGCCGACCATACAGTCTCCTCGGCTGACCATGCCTTTCCGGGCACCGGCCACTCAACTTCCTCGGTTGTCCATGCCTTCCTGGGCGCCGGTCACTCGGTCAATCCGGCTTTGGCCATCCTCGGACCGGGCACCCTGGTCCGACCGAGCACTGCCTTACCGAGCAGTTATAAGAACAATACCTAGGCCGGCACCATGGCGGTTGGACGCTCCATCAACAAAAAGCTTCCACATGTCCCCCACAAAAAGCTTCCAGCAGTCAGATGGGTCCTGAGAGTTGCGAAGGGCAATGGGATCACAACTGCTCGGCTGTGCGGTGTCAAGTTTGGTGTTGACCGGTTCAAATTCAGTGCCCCTTGGTGATTCGACACCGGACTCAGCAAGTTGGTTCCGAATGCCCAAGTCCGTAGGCGAATCATCAAGTTCTGATGTGAAGCCGGCCGCAGGTTCTGAGCTGCCTGGAACCATTCCTTCCCCCCTTGAGGATTCGGCACCGGACTCAGCAAGTTG